TGTGCCCTCCCGGGAGTCTCTCCTCAGACAGGCACAGCGCAGGAGCTGGAAGTCATCTGCTGTTACTGTAAAACTTGTACCCTGGGATAGTTGTACTCAGCTATAATTTTAATGCCACTTTTGCAGGGGCCTCCATTCAAACCATATCTTTGGTAGTAAGAATTGCATGAGGAGCTAAAAATACTTAATGCATAACTGGTTGAAGCTGAAATGAAAGGCCATGCTCTCTACAACTTCTGTACCCACCCCAGAGGCATATTTTGTTCTTGGCTAGCTTGTCTTCTCTTAAGACACTGTTTACATGGAGGATACGACAGCCACATCTCGGAGGGTTTTGTGCTTCCTGCTCATTCAACGGAGACCATGCAACAGCTTTCAGTAGCTTCTCCATTTTCCTGTAGCATTAATCCATGTGCCAGAGTAGGGACCGTGAGACTAAGAACAGTGACTGAGCTGAAATAGTGAGAAAAGCTCATCCATCTGTAGGGTGAATTTGGTAACTTACTGCTTTGCCAGATGAGTGTGTTCTAGTACATGCTTATGTGCTTCTTGGTCGTTGATGTGAGGGAAGGGAAGGGATTTGCCTGTACCAGTTGCAGGACAGAGAAGCAGCAGCCACAAAATTAGTGTGTGTGGTGCATCAAAACCTTGAGACCTGGGAGTCCTTGTGGTGAAATGTGGGGGGAGAAAAACACTTCTTCATTTCTTTGTACTCCCAAGTCTCTTGTGTAGAGACTGCAGGGTGCTGAAAAGCCTATTAGACCAGCTGAAGGTGACTAAGCTGTACCAAGTCTCTTGTGTAGAGACTGCAGGGTGCTAGCTGAAAGGTGACTAAGCTGTGGCTGAAAAGTTAATTTATTCTGTGGTAAAACTCCCTCTGGCTCTCTCAGCTGAGTGGGTTTTTTTATCTGTAGGAGAAATTACATTGTGTTTTCAAGTGGTGCTGAGAAACAGAAGCGAACCAGTATTGGTGATTATAAAAATGATGTCCTGGAAAGCATTTGGTTTCCACTGCTTTTTAATGAGGCACATGCATGCTGTACACCTTAGTCATTTGTGATAATGAGATTTGGACTCCTTGAGTCACTTAGTGTTTCCAAAACCACACCTAAAATAGGTGAACTGACAGTGGAGCGGACTATTCTGAAGGACTAACCTTCAGAAGTGCAGCACTTGAGGAAATCTCTGTTATTTCTACGTGCACAGAAGAACCCAAAAGGACCTTGTTGCCTTCCCTCCCCACCTCCACGGGGCAGCGAGCCGTTCCCACCCTGTCGCATCCCTCCTGCCCACACAGGAGCAGGGCAGCTGGGAGGAGCCCTCACCTGCAGCTTTCTGCTCCAGCCGACTGGGAGGTGGTTCTGCGCTGGCCTTGGGGTGGCTGGAGGGAAAGGCCAGCCTTGGGGAGCTGGTGCTGCCCTGTCCCTGCGGTGGGCTGCTGTGGGAGGGTGCTCAGGTGCGGGGTTACTGAGCACCGTCTCCCCAGGCTTCCTCCCTTCCTCCCCAGGGAGGGTGCAGGCGGCTGTACAGCCTGCCTGGGCTGGTGGCCAGAGGCAGTTGGGTTCCCTGCAGAGCTGGTGAGGAGACAGCAGTGAGCCATTAACCAAAGACGCAGAAGGTCACGTTAGCCTGGTCTGTCTTCAAACTGGGTTAAATGCTGTACTTCATATCCTGTGACTTCGGTCCTAGAAACTTAGAAGTGTGGCTTTTACTTTGCTGTGTAGAGGTCTTTGTAGGAAGGCTGTCACCAATTATTTTGTTTAAAGAGCCCTTGAAAGCATTTTACGTGTGCTCAAAACTGTAGATGTGCTTAGTTTAAAATACTGCCTTGTTTAAAGAGCGAACAGTGATGAGTTTAAAAACAATATAAAAACCAGAAGAAGAAACCCAGCCTTCTTTCCGTCTTTTTCATTCTTGTGTTTATTTTGAGTGGTGTGATTAGTGCTATTACGCTGTGCATGGTAATGCTTACAGAATGGTGAAAGATTAAAGGAAAAGGAAAGTTATTTTTGAAACAATAAAAGCGAACATGAAAAATTTGCTCTTTTACTTTTCTTGATACATCTGCCAAGATTGTGTCCAGTGTTGGAGTGCTTGACAGCTGGAGAAGCGGTTGTACCTTGGTAGTTTTTCATTTAACGTCTTGTCCAAATTGCCATCTTTTCTTATTTTTTCCAATTTACTTGCTTTTTATCTTACAAGAATACTTTTTGAAACTTCTTGTTTTCTCACACTTCAGTCATCACAATTTGGGAGCTGTTGCGGGGAAGGTCCCTTGTGTTCTGTAGGAATCTGAAGTATTAAAAGAGGCTGTCAGGCTCAATTCTTTCTTTCTTTCTTTACTATGATGAGAGTAGCTGTGGGATGGGCTTGGCAGTCAAAAGTTCAGCTGAGACGGGAGCCTAAAATCTTTGCTAATTATCCACCTACATTTAGGGGCCTACATGTGAATGTATGAACCTAGCTGTAGTGATGTCTCTAGAGAAGCTTCGCTTACAGCTCTGAAACACTTGATTTCCATGCCTGCTGAAAATGATTAATTTCTGTTTGTATTTCTGTACAGATTGAGTATTTACTTAAAAAACTCACTGAAGCAATGGGAGCAGGCTGGCAGCAAGAGCAGTTTGACCACTATAAGATTGCTCTCAACACCAGTCGAGAAGGTCTTTCTGCATGGGAGCTCATTGACCTCGTTGGAAGTGGGCAGTTTAGTAAAGGGATGGACCAACAGACGGTGTCCATGGCAATCAATGAAGTCTTTAATGAGCTCATATTAGATGTACTCAAGCAGGTAAGAACCACAGAGAACTAATGTTTGAAAGTAGAACAATTTACAGCATAATTAGAAGATGTTCAACTTGTATTGAAAGTTCTTTACCTGATGGATAATGAGCAGGGAGAAATTGGACAAATTACTTACAATGGTTCTTTAATATGAGCTTAATTTGATAAAAGATAAATTGTGCTGCTGCTCAGATTGTTGTAATTGTTGCAGTATTATGAATGAGTTGCTTGTTGGGAGAGTTTGTTTTTAGAAAGTAAAAATGTGCTCTGTCTTGAAGTCCAACCTTTTTAATACTTGTGTCAACTGCTTGTTAGCTGACAGAATAGTTACAACACGCCCTCCCTCCTTCTTAAACTGGTGACAATTCTTCAGTCTTCCGACAGAATAGTTACAACACGCCCTCCCTCCTTAAATTGGTGACAATTCTTCAGTCTTCGGAAATGCTTTCTTTCTAGTTGCAGTTACGTTGTAGCAAAGGGAAGTTGTGCTGCTGCTGACCTCCCTATTGAAACAAAGAGGTCTGGACAAGGGTGTTCCTCCAGCTGAAAGGTCTGCTTCTAAGTTGCCAGCTTCAACAGGGCAAAAAGGTGTAGAAGAGCTCCAGAGCTCTCTCCCTTCTTGTTCTGCTTAGCAGGCTACGTGACTGACAACTTACCTGTACTCAAACACAAGAAGTCATGCTGGCCTTTATATTCTTAGCAAACTTCTGTCAGTCTTCAGTTTCTTCAGATTTCCAGTGGCTGGATTATCTGTTCAGGAATGGCTAAAAACTGCATTTCTTTAATGGGAAGTGTAAATACCCCAGGGACCTGAGGGCTCACAGCAGAGTGTACCTAGAGAGCTATTTAAAATTGACTTTTACCTGACTGAGAATTTTTTTCATCTTTGATTTCTTGGTGACGAGAGAAACAAAGGCTTTCTTGGCAGGCTTTCCTAAGCTGTTCTGAAGAAATCATCAGAAGGTCTTGGCACAGGAAATTCTTTCAGAATATCCACAGAACAATGCAAAAGTCTATTTTTGTTAACTGCTGGTTGCCTGTTGGAGGTGAGGGCTAGGGACGGACACACACAGAGGCAGTTGAGGGCAAAATGAAATCATTCTGCTGTTTAATACCATGAAAATAAAATAACCGGTGTCAGGTCAGTCCTTCCGCTTGAAACTTGTGAGGAAATCGGATTTTTCAGTTTTGATACTCCATTGTGTGTGTCTCTCTCACCCCCACCCTTTTCTTAAAAAAAAAAAATAAATTAACCCACCAACAAAAACCTGTCTCCTTTCTTTCCTCCCTCGGTGGCCGGGCCTCTTTCTCAAGGATGTCCAAGTACCTTTGGTTTCTTGACATTTAAAAATAGTTTGTGTCAAGGTCTGATCTGGCCTCCTGGACAGTCCCTGGCTAATGGAGTTCCCCGTGTGACTTACAGACGTCTGGTTGGGTCCCAGCTTGTACCCTGGTACCTTCCTGATCACACAGTTGTCGTGTTTATTGTAGTATGTGATTACTTCAAGCTATTAAGTGATGACAGAACATATCATAGCCAAGTCTTATGCTGCCCTTTTTATTGTACGCTTATCCCAGATCTCCAAGGCTTATGGAGGGTAGCAGTGATAATTAAATTTGTGATATTTACTTTTCTGAAGATGTGTACCTCGTGGTAGTTGGTGTGAAAAGATCCCCAGAAGGTCAGTGGGCTCTTGGAAGATGAGAAGCAGCTGATGCACAGAAATAGCAGATAAAGATTTTGCCGAAATTTGAGGGGAAAATATCATTCTGACTTGGCTTTGAAAGCAAATTCAGCAGGTCAGGAAGGGGAAAAACACCTGGTTATGACTTAGACTGTGCAAGGCATGAAAGAGTGAAGCTGCAGGAGTCCTTCACACGCCCTTGCGACCACCCAGACCTTGGGCCTGAGTACGGAGGCGGCAAACAAAGCTGTTTCTCTGCACGTTCCTGTTTTGGAGCAAGGAGGTGGGATGTTAAGGGAATAGGCACGGCCTTGGCTCTGGCCGTGTTGAACTGGGTAGAAAAGCTGAGCACAGATAAGCTGTGCGTGTAGGGGAGTTATTTCTTTTTTTGTTTGTTTTGTTTTTTAACCACAAGAGCTTCTCCAACTGTCCTGAATTTTTTTTTCCCCCTCAGACCTGTACAGAAAAACCCCTTTGACTGAAATATGCCACAGCACATTCATTTGCTTGCTTGTACACAAAATTGCTATAGCTAAAGGGCTTTACAGAAGAATGTTCCTCGGTCTCCCTTCCAAATTTCCATCCTCTTAATCCGGAATATTTTGTGGACAGTGCTTTCTGTGTGGCTTGTTCATAGCTATATTGATGTAGGTGTTTCTGTTTCATCTGAAGTTAGGAGTCAGACAAAAGTATGTAAGTAATTGGGGAGCACAGTTTCAGAAATGGCTGAAATACCGGCAAACTTTTAAACTCTAGATGAAAAACTGACTAGGTCATGGCAGTGCCCCTGATAAGATCACTAAAAATCAAATGCCTGAATGAATGACCAATTATTGTACCAGTCCTGGTGCACCCTCTTTTCCATGAGATGGTTTTTGAAATGCCGTAGCCACGCTGGATAGTGTGTAACAGGGCTACTACCATAACTACCCTTTGTATTGCTGCCTATATTTTAGATACATTAATATTCAATAGAGGCAAACTTGGATGATTTGATTGTGATAACAGCCCTATTTATTACTACAGAAGATTAGAATTTTTATTCTTTTATTTCTATAAAGCTCGGTAGCAAAGTATGAGCTTCTTTTCCTTCTTTTGAAATAGTCTTGTTGAGGCTTGCAAGTGTTTTTCTAATGTAGGAAGTGGATCATCTTTCAAGGAGAATAAAATACTGTGAGTGAAATCTTGGCATTATTTAAACCAGGGTACAACCTCTGTGCCTTTAGGGGTAAAACCAGGCTTCACCAGTGTTCCGTAGCCTGCGCAACAGCGATGCCAGGAGGATGGTTCTGTTATCGCTCTCTCTGACAGACTAATTGAAGTGTCCTTTACGGGATCACTTCTTCAACAGGGTGCGGTTACATGAGTGTGTTGGCAGGGTGGGGCCGCTCCTAGGACAGAGGTAGGTGCTTCTGCTTTGTCCCTGGGACTGTCCCGCAACAGGCTGGACTGACAGTGCGCAGATGCAGCCCACATCTGTCACTGGGGCATGCAGCAGTGCACAGGGCTCATTTTTAATAATGGCTGTCATTAATGTATTACAGGTGAGTCTTAGTGATGGCAAATGTCTCTGCTTGAGTGAAAAAACAGTAAAGGTCATCAGAGGGAACCAAAGAGTCATAATAATGACTTAATCATGACATAATAATAACAATAGTTGTTATTGTTCAGTTCTTCAGATAACCCAGTTACTTAAAAACTGGACAGAAGAACAGTGAGTGGTTTCTCATGGGCTAAACAATCAGCAGTGTGCCCCGAGCTGACTTCTCTGTGTGCTCTCTTGGGCCTTTGAGCCACAGAACCGAAAGATCAGGCGTTCAGCAGAGGCTGGGCATTTCAGCTGATCCGTTGCTTTTTACAGGGCTATATGTTGAAAAAAGGTCATAAAAGGAAAAATTGGACGGAACGGTGGTTTGTGCTAAAACCCAATATTATTTCCTACTATGTAAGTGAAGATTTAAAGGACAAGAAGGGAGACATCATACTGGATGGCAACTGTTGTGTAGAGGTAAAAAAAAATAATGACCCAAACTATGAATGTTTCTAAAGATGGGAATTAATCCTTTTCTGTGCGGGGGATGTCTTTCATTAATGGCAATTTTTTTAGTTTATATAAAAAGAGTTCATTGATGCTCTTTTTATAAAGACCATTAGCGCTGGTATTTGCAGCTCTGTAACAGATAGCTGCATGCCTGGGGCTTGACAATATAACTTAATTTCAGTGTTTGCAAGGCTAATCCTTTGTTACCCATTCTAGGCCTTGCCTGACAAAGATGGAAAGAAATGCCTTTTTCTCATAAAATGTCTTGACAAAAGCTTTGAAATCAGTGCCTCTGATAAAAAGAAGAAGCAGGAGTGGATTCAAGGTAAAGTTTTAAAAATCTTAATTATGTGAAAGTTAAGGTAAGCTGGAGTCTTAGCTGTGCTTTCTCCAATTAGAAATTCTGTCTTGTGATTTTTGGTGTCTCTGTGTTGGGCACATGGAAAGGGTCTTTAAGGACCCTGAGACTCAGGAAGAACTAAGGATGTGTGTAAGAGGAATCTGTTTCTGCCATTTAGGTGCCTCGACTTAGGCAGCTGTAACCAAAATGAAATGGATGTAATTGGTGTGTGCTTTTTCTATAGTGGCTGTACTTGGAGGGATGGGGAAGGGAAGGGGAATACGTTGTCAACTGTTGCTTTTGAGGTGAAAGGGCCAGCTTGTTCATTTCAGCGTTGTAAAATACTGGCTTTGCTTTTACAGTTTTGCTTGAGGGTATTTATGGTTTGGTGGGCTGAGGATAAGGCTGGGAATTGGGGCTTCCTTTTCCATTCCCACAACTCCATCTGTGAGCGACAGTTACACGCGTGTTTTGCGGAGTGAGGTAGAAGCCCTTGCAAAACGACTGCTGCCACTGCCATTGGTGTACAGCATTTAAAGATTTGGAGCTGTGTGCTTTCATTTGCACTTTCCTCTTTACCTACATCATGTGTTTAATTGCATCAGAGCCTGATGTTTGACAAATGATTACTTAGTTCCAAAAGGAGATCTTTTTTTCACAGTTGTGGTAGGTGAATAAAATATCAAAATCATCTGCCCCTCCTCAGCTTTGCTCTCTGAATATTTCCTCATGGAATATGAGTGAATGAAAGCTGCTTTCTTACTAGGAGAAGGTTCTCCCTTGGAGTGTCAGTAAGAAGGAAGGGTTTAAGTTTGGTTGGAGGGAAGTGAGTGATGTATATATTGGATAACATCTTACTGCTTGATTTGAGTCACTGAATCTAGGAAGTAAGAAATCTTGAAGTGTTGTTCTTTTGAGGGGGGGAGTGTTGGTGGGTTTTTGTTTGTTTGTTTTGTTTTTCAGCTAGGCATGCAAGGGACTTGTATGCCCACTGCATGTTAGAAATCCAATACTGGAACTGACATAATGCATTGGAACTGGGGGACTTTATCCTTGTGGCACACAGCCAATACTGAAAGCCAAGTGTCTTTCACTTTTAGTTTGTGTTGACAGCTTGGCCTGGTGAGAATTAGGAAAACTGACAACAGTTATTTCTGATTTAAAAATACATTAAAAAACCAAATATAAACCAAATAATGGAAAACAAACCCCACAACACTACAGGTGTTCATTCACTAAGGCATTTCCCTTCACTGGTGTTCTCTTACTTTTCCTCTCCTTCTGTCTTGCACGCTCCTTTCCAGCCATTCAGACCACTGTAACCCTGCTGAGGGCGGGGAGCCCTCCACCCCACAAAGAAGCTCGCCAAAAACGAAAAGAATTGCGCCAGAAACTGTTAGCGGAGCAAGAAGAGCTGGAGCGGCAGATGAAAGAACTGCAAACGGCCAACGAGAACAAGCAGAAGGAGCTGGAAACTGTGCGAAAGGTGGGAGCTGCTGACCTTCAAGCTTTAAGCTCAGTCTCTGTGATTGAGAAGGGCTTCTTGAGGTGTAATTGGGCACCTATTTCCTGTTCAGGTGTTCACACCGAAGAGGTGAGCTTGTGTCAGTGTCAGGCCCCACGCAATAGATCTGCCAGTTGAGCCTGCAGTAAAGGTGTCAGTGCTGGCTGCAGCAGTTCCTAAGGGCTGTTTTCGCAGGGTAACTCAGGGGGCCCAGCCCTGTCCCTGCTACTTACAAGGCTGTTGTGAAACAAGTGCAGAAGAAAACCCCAGCTGTGTGGCTGGTGTCTGGGGACTGGGGAGGCTGGTATTTTCAGTTACTTGTGGGGTTTTTTTGTTTTTCTTTTGTCAGACATCTGTCAAACTTACATTAAGATTTTCTGACATAGTTTTCCAAAGGTATGTGAATTGTATGTGTATGGGAACTCTTCTCTTCACACAGACATAGTCTCCAGAGATATAAGTTTAGTTTACAAAGATTCCAAAGATGCAAAGTGATTTTGTGAGTATGTATAGGCATAATTCTATTGGAGTAGTCTGGGAGAGATTTACAGAGCAGAGACGCGTAGCGACCATTTATAAACTGTTTACATGCATGTTCCCTGTAAATGCTGGCTTCACTTCTAAGAGGCCGAGAATTGGACTAGAAATTTCCAAGAATTAGCAGAATACTTGCTGAATATATTATTTTCCTTGTAGACAGCTTTTTAGTCTAAATCCGATGACTGTCAGGAGACACCAAGGTGCCTTTGCTGTGGCTGCTTTCTTAACAGTAGACTGAACATGCTGATGGATCGTTGTACTTTGGAACAACTGGTACCTCTGCTGTAATTCTCCACAGAGACTTGATTAGTGTCCAGTTACACTTCCTGTCTTTTTTTTTAGACTTGAACAAAGAGTCACTGGCTTTTATTGCCGTGATACCTTTTAATGAGGAGAGTGCCTTGGAAATAGCTTAGGGCACCATCAAATGCCTCCCTCCCCAGCATGTCGGCTGCTGAGTCCCTGCTGCTGGCGCAGTCCAGATCTTTGCTTAGTTTAAAGAGTCTTTCATTCACTGCCTTCCTAAATTAATTAGATTTTTTTGCATTCCCATTTAGGACAAGTCTGCATCATTGTCTGAGTTTTTCATAAATGGAAAACTAACTAATTTTAGCCCTCAGTTAGAAAAGACTTTAATGACCTTTGCAGGGGGAGCTGGGGGGAAGCTATAAATATTGTGAGAACATGGTAAAGGTATTGGGTCTAGAAAGCAAAAAAAAATAATTCAAAATCTGTCTTTTTAAAAGTCTTGTCATTAAGTTACAATTTGTGGTGAGGAGAAATTTGTCTTTCAATTGTCTTACAATTTGTGGTGAGGAGAAATTAACCTTGCAGTGACAGTACTGATGTGGGTGTTATTCTGTTTGCCTTTAAATAGAGTTTGACAGTGGAAGATTTTTAAATTTAATTTTAGCACCTCTACATTTAAGATTCAGAATGTAAAATATGCTTTAAAGGATAGCCTGGGGTACCTGCAAGTTCCTGATAAGTTAATAGCCCTGTTCACAGAAATCATAGGGCTGGATTTCAGAGTTGAGTTTACTTTATGGAGAAGTTATGGGAAAGACAACATCAGAGCAACCCCAAAGAAGCACCAGGATGGTGACAGGCTCCAGGGAGTTTTGTAGAAATGAGAGTTGCAGCAAGAAGCGTCTTTTGAAGGGGACTGGCTTAAAATGACTTTTCAAGGAGAGGAGTTTAGTCTCTGACATGAACTACTGTGCTTTGACTAAGTGGAATTAGTGGGGAGGTACTTAAACTGTTTGATTAGTTAGAAAAACATTCTTCAAGGAAAAGGCTCTGAAAGTGGTTCAGGAAATGGAATTGTTCTGGAAAGCTTCGACTCAGCTTTGCTCCTGATGGCAGTGAGCCAGCACTTACGTGGCATCTGGCAAAGTGCACTCTGAGACTGGTTTGTTTCTGATAGCTCCTGCAGTAGAAAATTTCAGAAGAATAAGAGCCTTTGTCTAAAACATTTTTTTTCCCCATATTTCTAAATGGAATTTTGAGATACAGACGTTGAACAGACTGAAAGGTAAGTTCTTCTTACCAAGAGAGCACACACAAGCCTCGTGCACCCTTTCTGTTTCAATTTGGGGTCTTGCACAGACTTCAGAGACTCTGTGCTAACTCACTCCTGCTGGAATGGTGTGTTCCTGGTGATTCCCCTTCCCTCCCCGCCCCCAGCATTTGGGACTTTCCCCTGAACCACACAGTTGTTGCCAGTGACCTTACCTGCCGGGAACTGATGTGCTCTGACATAAATTAAGCAGGAACCTGCTGACAGAGTGGACAAACTGTTTTCTTGTTGAGCGCTCGGGCAAAAGCCTAACAGCCACCCTTGCCTGTAACCCTGCACGTTCGCCCTCTCGGCTCAGCGTTGGCAATGTTGGTTTAATTTCAAAGTGAGGAAGGAAATAAAAAGAAAATTTCACTTAAAAAGGCATCTTGGCTTTGACTACAATTACATGCTTTTAAATGTCCTGGCAGGGGAGGAATACTACCGCAAGACTGGCATCATTTCAGCCTTTCAAAGGAGAGCAATTCGGTACTATATCTGCTGCAGCTTAAAAACAAACTAGAGGCCTTCTCCTTCCCTTCTTCCCATCTATTTCAGATTAGAGTGGTACCATAAGCATTTAAAGGAATGCAAGTTTCAGCTTGGCAGTTTTAATTGTTTAGGCATCTTATTAGTTCATCTAGGTTGTGTGAGGGAAGATGGTTTGAATGTGGTACCTTCCAAAAATGTTAAGAAAAGGGGTGTCCCACTCTCACTGGAGGTCTGTGGAAGCAGTTTCACTAGCCTAGTGTATTACAGAAGAAAGGTGCTTGCTTTTTGTTTCCGCTGAAGCATCAGGTAAGAGTCTTAGGAAAATTCTGTGAAAGAATTATTTTGTTGTCAATATTGGTAAAGTTTTGGCTGATACTTTTATGTTTTTAACCTTCTTTACATTCTAAAAACACATGCTATTGAAATCCTACTGAAAGGAAGAGCTGTGGTGACTAGATATGTAAAATCAAGATGCAATGTAAGTTATATCAGCTGCAAAAAGGCCTGAAGGTACCAGCAGCTGTTTCCTAGGCCTTGGGTCTGACTAGGCTAATTTTTCCCCTAATTTCAAGTGATCATTAACTAGAATTTTATTTACCTTACATGGCAATTTAGGGGACGTTAAAGGGATGTGATTCACAATAGCACAATTACTTATTATAGTCAAAGCTTGTGGCACTTCTGCTTTCCCATGGCAATTTAGTGCTTCTCACTTCTGTTTCTCTGTGAACTCTGCACGCTGGCATGTTCTCGCTGTTGGAAGCCCTGTGCAGTCCTGCCTGCAGTGTGGTTTTCCATAATGGTTTTCTATCCCATAGGAGACAGAGAAGGAAATACAGTGATTTCTATCAGTTGTGCAAAGCAGGACTCAAAGGGAACTTACTTAAGGAAGTCTGATAATTGACTTTGCATTGGTAAATTTAAAAGGAAGTCTGATAATTTTAAATTTACCAATGAAAAGTCAATTGTCTTGCAAGTAACAAGATTAAAAATTATATTTAAAGACTGAGAATAGCCTCAGACATTAAAAAAAAAAGCTGGTGCCTTAATGCTTTTGAAGGTTTATTCAATTTTTGTTAAAAACAAAGAAATTGTCAAGTAGAATTCCATTCACCTCCAAATGTTTTAGTTTTGACAAATTATTTTTTTCTTCTTTTCTTCCTCCCACCCCCCACCCTTCTCTTCCAGCAACTGGAAGCAGCAGCTGCTCGTGCTGCTGAGGAAGAGAAGAAAAGACTACAGACTCAAGTCGAATTACAAGATCGCTTCAGTTTGGAGCTGGAGAGAGAAAAAATGGTGAGTAGTGCACATGTTTTTTGCTATGATTACACAGAGTGAGCAGAGCCTTCGGCCTTTACTTTCTGCACAGACAGTCACCGAGAGGATTCCACAGATTTTGAGAAGGCTGGAGAATGCAGCCTGCATTGCATTTATTAGAGACGTGGGAATAAAATACTTTTATTAGTGAATTCAAATACTGGAACAGCTTGTCTACAATTTCCACAGCATTCAAAGCTTAAATATTATTGGAAAATTGGGAAAAAAATGACTGTTTGAAAGATAAATGCAGACTGAATTACCCTTCTAGTTTTCAAAGATGGAGAACTTGAGGCCAGTATCTACTGTATAAGCAGAATGAACACAGGCATAATCAAAATGCATTTTAGGAATTTTCTGACTTGAATATATTCCTAAAACTGTTGCTTTTTTTATACTGTATGTTCTTTTACATTTATACACACAGAAATGTATTTTCAAGCTTCAAGAGGTTTGTCAGGCATAGCAGGCTTCTCTGTTAGCTGGAGAAAGAAGTAGAAATAATCAAGTCAATGTGATGGGACATCTCAGGACACAAATGCACACGATGCTGCTTTATGGGCTGAGTGTGAGTTCCTGAATACAATCACTTTCTGGGTCAGTGGGGTTTCGGTTAGCTGAGGAGAAGTGGACTGCAGACCAGTGGAGCAGGACATGCCA